CTCCTGTAAAGATTTACACCCTCGGAAACCCTGTACAGGGTCGCTATGGGTCGGAACCGACTCGATGGCACTTAACAACAACAACAACAACAACCCTCTGAAATATCTATGTACTTCCATTAACACTCTCATCAGCAATGCATTTCAGTAAGTGGCCCTGTAGGATAAGCACCTGATCATAAGGTCAGTTTGAACCACAAGGTCAGTGGTTCAAACTCACTAACCACTCCTTGGAAACCCTATACAGGGTCACTACGAGTTGGAACCGACTTGACGACACTTAACAACAACAACAACCTACTCTTCTTAATACCAGATATGGTCAAACATTCAAATCTTTGTTATCTGATAAATGAGCCAGCTAACATCTTTATTTCAGATTCCATTTCTCAAAATTACTAGCGTAACTAAGCATCTTTTTGTATGCTTGACAGTTATTCAGCTTTCTTTCTTGGTGAATTACTATACTTTAAAAATTGTAGTTTCCCCCAGTGGCTCATTTATGTGTGTGCTTTTAATTTATAAGAGGAATCCATTCTAGATATGAATCATTTACCTGTCCTTTTACCGTTGCAAAGATCTTTTTAAAACACTGTCAACTTAATTATTTATTTTTATTTAGAAATTCCAAATGTACAATGGGCTTTATTCTTTTAAATCCAATGCAAGGTGGCAGACATAGTCTCTGCAACTGGCTGAACAACTTCTGTCCATCTAAGCAAAAAACTTCTCTGAAAAGTTCTTGAAAGTTCATTCCACTGGAGAGTAGGCCTCTCTTAGCAGCTTGTGAGCCAGACAGTGACAAATACATTATATACATTGGTGAGCAAACCAAGAGAACGTGATCAGGATCTACAATTCTCACAATAGCCCCAAAGCAGTTTGAAAGCAGTTTCATTAAAAATAATAAAGTGATCAGTGTTTGTTGTTGTTGTTAAGTGCTGTCGAGTCCGTTCTGACTCAAAGCAACCCAGTTTAGGGTTTCCAAGGAGCGGCTGGTGGATTTGAACCACCAACCTTGTATTTCAAACAGACCTTGTGGTTCAGTGCATTATCCCATTTTGAATTTAAAATTTTTAAGTTGACAGCATCCAGTCATTAAGTGCAGAATTCATATTTTTCATTATGCTTTAAGAGTTCTGAGAAGTTTTCACTCACTCTTCTGCCTGGATAATGGTTTGTGCCGCTGATTGAGTGTGTGGAAATGCAAACAGGAGACAAACAGCTGAGCTATCTATATACAGATATACTAGACGACAAGCTCTGTGAAGTCAAGTTCTGTGCTTATTATATCCTCTACATTTGACTCAGTTGGCAATCTAGTTGCTGTTGTTGTTGTCAGTGCCATTGAGTCAGTTCTGACTCATAACGACCCTGCGTAGGTTTTCCAAGGAGTGGCTGGTGGATTTGAACCACTGACCTTTAGAATAGCAGTCCAGTGCTTATCCTATAGCACCACACCAGGACTCGGATAATCCAATGCTGTTATTGTTGTTACGTAGGTTTCTGAGGAGTGGCTGGTGAGTTTGAATCGCCAACCTTGCGGTTCCTGGTGCGGTGTTGTGCGTTAATGCGCTGGACTGCAAAGCCAATTTGAACCACAATGTTGGTGGTTCAAGATCACCAGCCACTCCTCGGAAACCCTATACAGGGTTGCTATGGGTCAGAACTGACTCAACGTCACTTAACAACAACAAACTTTGTAGTTCAAACTGACTTTGTGGTTCAAATCAAACTTGTGGTCCAAGCCCTACAGTGCCACATCAGGGCTCAGATAATCCAGCGGTCAGTGGAAATGTGTTGACTATTCTCAATGATCAAAACTACTGACTGAATCCTAATTGTGTTATGATCTATTGCTTGATATCATCAAAAGGGACCAAGATGGATAAAGTCCCTGTCCTCATGAAGCTTAGTATGAGTGACAGTGGAAACTGTAACACCAGGCAGAGATAAATGTAGCGTAGTGGTTACAAATTGGGTTGCGAACCTTACGGTCAGTGGTTCGAAACTACCAGCCACTCCGCAGGAGAAAGATGAGGCTTTCTACTCCCATAAAGATTTACACCCTCGGAAACCCTGTACAGGGTCGCTATGGGTCGGAACTGACTCGACGGCACTTAACAACAACAATAACAAGAAAAACAATACAATGAAATAGGCCAGAAAGTTATATGTGGAGGGAACTAGGGGTGTTTCTATTGCTGATAATGTGGTCTGAATAGCCTCTTGAGGAAAGGTCATAGTGATCATCAACAGCATTTACAATGGAGAGATTCAGTTATAAACCAATTGTCATGAACTATCTTCCAGCTCATAGCAATCCATATGTGACAGAGTAAATCTGTACTTCGTAGGGTTTTCAGCTGCTGATGTTGCAGAAGTAGATCTTCTAACACATCTCCCAAACCTCCAACTCTGTTAACAGCAGAGTAGCTTAACCTTGGCACCACTCATGGACTCCAGGATAGAGATAGATAAAACTAGTTAGGGTTCCAAAACAATTCTTCCAATTCAGGAGGTAAGCTCCACCACATTCTGTTTTTCTTTCAGGCAGTTAGTATGAGCCTTGAAAAAATTTTTTCTTTTTAACTAAAACACTGAGTTGTAATATATGCTACCATCTGAAGAAGCTAATGACCTTGTAAAATATGCTCTCTTTGGGGGATAGTTTAAACATCAAGAGAACAGTTGGTTCGGTTAGGTAAGGTTATGTTGTGGGCTTTGACTAAACTGTCACTCGTGTGTATTTTTAACTACCTATCTTTCTGGTGTTAGAAAAAGTACAGTCGAATGCTCCTTAGAAGTCAGGATGGTGATGTCTCATACTTCAGACATGGTATTAGGAAGGACCAGTCCCTGGAGAAGGACACCAAGCTTGAGACAGAGAAGGGTCAATGAAAGGAGGAAAATCCCCAATGAGATGGACTGACACAGTGGCGGCAGCAATGAGCTCCAACTAACAATTGTGAGGGTGGTGTAGGGGAGGGCAGTGTTTCACTCTGTTGTGCACAGGGTCACTCTGAGTCGGAATGGACTCCACAGCACCTTAACAGCGTATTTCTGGGAACCCACTCCAACTCCAACTGCCAGGTCGCTGGTTTAAGCTCACCAGCTACACCTTGGAAACCTCTACAGGGTCGATCAGGGTCAGAATAGACTCCACGACACTTTAACAAAAAGAACTCTAACAACAAAAAGTCTTTGAGCCATGATTAATGTTCACATCCTGCAGGCACTGATAAGCTATGGCTCATGAGATGATTTACCAAAATTTTATTGAGAGACACATCAAGTAGCAGCACTTAGCTCACATATGAAAATTGCTGTTTGTACAAATAAAACAGAGGAGTTCTATTCTCTAGCTATTCGTTTAGTGCCAGCTTCCTTCTTGCTTCAAATATTTTATTTAAAAAAAATCAATTTCAAGTTCTTAACAGTGTCTAGTAGGTGTTCAAGGTTATTAACCTCCCCTCCCCCCCTTTTCTAGTTCTTCCTCAAAGAGAAAATATTCTGTTTTGTTTTCTTTCCCCTTTTAGCCATGTATTTAAATCCACAGATGTTTCACATGTACCTTTTGATGGGATTCATTGTTTTGTTTCTTTTGCTTTAGTCTGTACAGGCGCCTTCAAATTTTCCTTCTGTTACAAATCTTTTTCAAAGTCAGCATTGGACTTGTCTGATGGATCGGGTTGATTTTTGCGGTGCACACAAAACCTCTTTGAGGAACCATTCAGTGATCACGCGAAGAGAACAAACGAAAGTGTTCGCTCATCTTTCGAAAAAAAACCTATTTATACAGTTGGTGTGTTCTTCAAGCATATTCATCGAGTTCTTAGTGATCAACACAGAATATGACATCAGTTTTCACGTACATAGGGTTTTGTCTGACATTCCTGTAAAGTTATTTTCTCGTTTGATGTTTTGTTTTCCTGACTTATTCATTGTTAATATGCTACAGAAAACCCCTTGTCGCCTTGGCGATTGTTCCCTCCCTTTTAAAGATCCTTTAGCAATGGAAGCCTGGACTTTTGGAGTCCTTTTAGGTTATTCTCCTCGGTTACTCCCCTCTCTATACCCACAGCCAGCCGAGGCCGCCGGCAGCTGAGCTGAAACAACCGTGGCAGGCGAGGAGAGGTGGGTGTCTTGTTGGCGACAAGACTCTTGCTGGCGGCGGGCGAGCCCGCCGGGGTTAACGGGTCGCCGGGGTCAGCGCCCTCGAAGTTGGGGGCCTCCGACGGAGCCGCGTCGGAGCCGCAGCGACCACTCGACCAGAGTCCCGCAGCCCCTCGCCCTCCAGGGGAAAACAATCGCTTCATCTGTCGCGATCTCACAGGGATCTTGCTTTTCCCGGTGCTGTCTCCAAGACAGAAGGCGAAGCGGAGCGGGGCGAGAGGAAAAGCCCAGGCCTGGGGCGGAGGAGGAATGAGGGGCCGGGAGCCGGGGGGATTTCCTCCCTCGCTTCCCCCTCCAACGGGAGCGGAAAATGTGATTTGCTGTGCATTCCAGGCGCGGTTCCCTGGGGTGACCTCTCCCAGCCGGCCCGGGCGGGGGGGAGCAGACAAAGAGGCGAGGCGGGCGGAGAGGGGACCCCGCGGGGAAGCAGGAGGGGTGCGGGGGGCGGGGGCAGTACCGGGAAAGGGGGCGGATAGCGGGTCCGGCGGCGGCAGCCGCGGCTTCTGGCCAATGGAGAGGCGCGGCCCTGGGCGCTGCTCTCCGCCGCCGGCATTTAAACCAGAGACGGCGCAATGCCTGGCACTCGGTGCGCCCTCCGCGGACCGGGCGACCCAGCGCGCAGCTGGAGCGTAGCTCTCAGTCCTGCTGATCCCGCGCCAAGTCCGGGCGGCTCAGGCCGCGCCGCACGCAGCGCCACGCGACGAGAGCGCAAGCCCCGAAGACCCGTCGCATTGACAGGTGAGCGAGGAGGCAGCAGTAAGTGACGGGGTTCGGGTCAGCAAACGACGCCAGCGCTCGGTTCCGTGCAGACCCGCTGCAGCCCTCCCTGCTCGTAGGCCCAGACCCAGGGGCGGCGCCGCTAGGTCTTTCTTGCCAGGGTTGCGGCTGCTGTGACCTCCAGGCGCGAGGTCGACTGGTAAAGTTAGGGAGGGTGTTAAGGAGGACGGGGAGCGGTATGGCCCCCCATCCCATTTGGATCCCTGGAGCCCTGTTAGCACGCTTTTGGTGCTCGTGGGAGCCTCGCCTGTGAAAGGTGTCCACACGGCGAGGCCACCAGTGGGACCGCGGGAGCAGCGGGAGAGTGAGTGGGGGACGCGAGAACCTGCGACTTGCCGCAGATGACTGGACAAGGCAAGTCCCCATGTGTCTAAGGTACTGCTCTGGTGCTGGTGACGTTTTGAGGCGCTCATCGGAGCTCTATGAACACCCCTGTTGTAGGCTAGAGGGTCCAGAGAATCGGGATTTGGCCCATTCACCCATCCCGGAGGTGAGATGGAGACGCGCGCTGTGTAGAACTGAACCGTTGCTTCCCGGCGCGGTGGAAAGCAGGGAGTTGAATTTGTGGCCAGCAGGAGTGGGTGCGCGGCCCAGACGCCGAGACCTGCGAGCCTGCAGTGTTCACCCCTAGACACACTTAGGGCTGGCTGCGCACACACGGTTGCTTAGTTCCCTTAACTAAACCTTTCCCGGTTGCACGAGTGCCTTGTGTGAACTCCGTCAGAGAAGCTAGGTCCCTGCGAGGGGCAGGTACTACTGGCCAAGTCCCCCTTTAGCAGATACCACAACCTCTGCTCTAGTGGCCCCAACCTCACCTCTCTCCCTGTGCTTCACGGCTAGCGACGGTCGACGCGGGACTGAAGGGGGAAAGGCTGGTCTCTGTCTCAGACTCGCGTGTCGTCCAGGTCTTCACGCACCGCTTTGCCTTGCCCACCCCACTAGGTCCTTTGCAGCTTAAGGGGAGAAGCCAGGGGACCGTCGGGGCTGTCATCTCGTGGGTTGGATGTACTTGTAGACTGATGGCTCTGGATGAACAGATGAGTTCACCGCTCTTGCATGGCATTATTGTCTTCTGCCTCCAGTTCCCTCTTGGGGACTCCCCAGCCAGGCGTTTCTCCACACGGGACTCAGGCTAAGGTCCTCAAGAGCTACGGAGGGAGGACAGAAGTTGACTAACCACTGCTGTGAAGTTCTCTGCGCGCGTCCAGAGGTGGCTTGAATGCGTTCTCTTTGCTGAGCCTGGCTGCTGAACCCGGCAGACTCGGAATCTTGGCTCTCTTTTAGACAGAAATCTCACTTCGACGTTAGGGGTTAAAATTGCTTCTTAAATCGTTCCAGAGAGGGGGCAGAGAGGCGACCATAGGTAGGTAATCGGATCTCCTGCTGGGAAGAGCAAATCCGAGCGGTGTGCGCGTCTGTTTATGTTCCCTTTGGAGATCGTGCCAGGATACTAGTTGAATAAAACAATCTATTGTGTTAAGTGGGTCACAAGGGTTTTGAGCTATCCCAGGGACCCCCAAATAGTGTTTTGTTTTGTTTTGTTTCTGGCTGTACACACAAGTTAAATAAATAGCTTAGACGAGGTTAATATAACCCTGATCCCAGGGTGAGGAGTCTTCTTTCACCCGTACATCTCTCCCCCACTTTTATTTTTTATTTTTGGAAGGGAGGGGGTTATGAGGACTTGAAGAGATGGACTTTTCAAAGCAAGGAAGAAAAACTGTTAAGAAAACTACAGATTCTCATCTCTCCCAGAACACATCACAAAGCTATACAATCAAACTATCACTGGATAAACAATCTCAGGAGAGTCGATTCCGAAGTGATAGTAACAGCTAATTACGTATGGATTCTTTACAACTGTAATTGCAATGTGCCAGTGTGTGTGTGTGTGCATGTGTGTGTGTTTAACCTGCAGGTCATTCCAGGAATTAGAGTACTTTATAAACTTTGTAATTTCACAGGCTTCCTATTTTCTTAAAAGTGCATTTTGAACCAAATGTTTTGGTAACCCACCATCTGTAGGAAATCCAGGTTGGCTAATGTAGCCTTAATCTCAGTGTCTACACATGGAAGACTTGAAGATTAGAAACCTCTTATTTCCCCCCATGTCCGAATGAGACGGGTCTGCCCTGTCTTCTAAACTAAAGGTGATTATTCATGAAAGTGATAAAATTGAGTTAAGTACTAACTTAATTTGAATTTAAGTATCAAGTATTAAAAGTAATAAAATATCAAGAATTTTTATGTCACAGACTCTTCTCCCAAGAAATTCTGGTGGACAGTGAAGCTGTGGAGTTGTAGAACATGGAAGTCAAGTTTTATGTACAGGAAAGGGGAAGGTAAAGGAGACGACTGCTGTATCTAATCCAAAGGCAAGTGTCACGAGCTTGTGCGTTACATCTGCAAGGGATGTTCTTTAGTTTTAACGTATGCTCTTAGAACTGCAAAGCACAACAGGCATGCCTGAGACAAGAGAAGTCTTTTTCTTCATATGTTAGCATGAAGCTACAAAATAGATAATTATTTGATTTACAATATTCTTCAAGCCCCACTGCCTTGGAAAACAAATCCATGTGTTCCTTCTTAAATATTGTCCTGGTTGTCAATAGAATAGTGGTTAAAAACATGTGCTCAGGGCTTCACATCTTGCCTTTCTCACTTGTGAATTGTGTGACCAAGGACAAATTCCTAACTTTGCCTGAATCTGGAGTTCCTGATCAGTAAAAGGAAGATTATATTAGCGATCTCAAAGGTTGTTGTGAAAAATAAATGAAAAAATTCAATCCGAATGTTAGCATCATGCCTAGCATAGTTGTTGTTGTTAAGTACCGTTCTGACTCATAGTGACCCTGCACAGGGTTTCCGAGGTTGCAGATCTTTATGGGAGCAGAAAGCCTCATCTTTCTTCCGTGGAGCCAGTGGTAGTTTCGAAGTGCTATTTGAGATCATAACCGCTACAATCATTAGGGTTCAGAAATAGAGGTTAGCCCTTAGTAGTAGTAGTGATGTTGGGAGAATTAGTAATAATGTGCGGCATATACTGCACAGGAGTTCGGAATTAAGTCCCAAATCTCATCCACACAATGACTAATACGCAGATTTTAATATACTGCAGATCTAGAACTTGTTGACTCTCAACAGTGGTCTTTTGTTGTTGTTGTTAAATGCCATCAAGTTGATTGCAACTCATAGCAACCCAAATAAGGTTTCTCAGGCTGTAAATCTTAAAGCAGCAGAAAGCCTCATCTTTCTCTTGTTGAGAGGCTCGCAGTCCAGTGCTTATCCTACAGAGCCACTGTGCTCCCATAGTGGCATTTAGTGAACACTTAATATCTATTCCTTGTAACTCATTTCCTGTTGATCTCAAGAACTGTATGGTGGTGGTGGAGTCGGTTCCGATCCATAGCGACCCTGTATAGGGTTTCTGAGGCTGTAAATCTTTACGGGAGCAGAAAGCCTCATCTTTCTTCTGTGGAGCCAGTGGTAGTTTCGAACTGCTGTTTGAGATCATAACTGCTACAATCATTAATTTCGCTAAAAAATCTTCAGTGAACATAGAGCACCTGAGATACTTAACCACCCGGTGGATTTCTCCCTGCTCTATGCAATGTTGGGCCCCAGTTTGCATTTTTAGTGGATTACAAGCGGGACTGCTAAACTCAAGGTTGGCAATTAGAATTTACCAGTCACTCCATGGAAGAAAAATGAGACCTTCTGCTCCCGTAAAACTTTATAGCCTCAGAAACCCTATACAGGGTTTCTAAGAGTTGGAACTGACTCAACAGCCAACAACCACTACCACCGGCTTGCTTTTGCCTAAACTTGAGAGGAGCATGTAGAGAATTGTATTCTATCACTTGCAGTGTTCCAACAATTAACTTTTAAAAATCATCTTGGTGAGAATTGTCTGCGGTGAAAATCAATGCAATATATCTTTATATAATTTCTAAAAGTTGATTCTCTTTTTAAAAATGAACAGTTAAAAACAACTTTCCTACTATTTCCTATCTACTTCTACTTTGTTATGGGTCGGAATCAACTCGACGGCACGTAACAACAACAACACGGCACACAGCAGCAGCAGTAGGATTTTGTTCTGACAAAAAGAAACAGATGGTTCTAAGACATAGGCTACACCTAGGGTACCTGCTGTCACTTTCAGTCTATTTGACATTGAAGAAAATATGTATGGTGTACCTGTTTGATCTCTTTCTAAAACTTGATTCATTAACTTAATCAAAGGTCCAGGTACTTACATCTGACTTCCTTACCATGTTCTTTATTGCATTTCCTACTCAAACTTCCATTTAACTGATTTGAATGGACTTGTTGACTAAAATGAGAAATTCATGAGAAAAGTGCAGAAAAGAGCTGGCCTAAACTTTACCGAAGACCTCAGATTCCACTCTTGTGGATACAAGAACACTGGAAACAGGTTATACATACTACTTTTATTTCTGAGTTCCCCGGAATTAGAAGAGGCGTTTTTAGCGCCCACCTGAGGATAGAAATAAATCACATGAACTGCAAAGTACAGATTGGTTAATATGGCGTATCCTGCTTGCAGATGTTTACTTTTTTGTTTCTTCTAAATGTATTCTATTGTTGTTTTGACTATACACAACAAAACATACTGTATTTTTATGTAAACAACACATATGTTATATGAGCTTTGTAAACCACACAATCCTCTTGTGTGTTACTTTCCTATGTATACTATGCAAGTGTGCTCATTATTCGTGTGGGTGAATTGTTGTTAAGTACCATCTAGTCTGTTTCAACTCATAGTGATCCTTTGTAAGTTTTTCTGTGGAGCGGCTGGTGGGTTTGAACTGGCAGCCTTACAGTAGACAGCCCAGTGCTTCTCCTACAGCACCACACTTCAGCACACCCATTCAGTAGTTTCTGCATATACTATTTAGTGATATTAGTTACATTCTTTGAGGTGTGCAACCATT